CAAGATGCATTATGTAAAGGTACAATTCCCAGTGAGAAATGTAATTGTGTTGTATACCTACAATGTACCAATAAAAGAATTTAATACAAAAAAATTAATTTTTGACAGCTGAATAGTATTCTTTTGAATGAACATATCACATTGTTTAGTAATTCACTTGTTGATACACACATGGATTGTTCCTTTTCAGCTCATACAATACAACTATGAACATTCATGTTTCTGTGTGGGCACGTGTTTTCCTTTCATTTGAGTATATTCTTACAAGTAAAATTGCTGGTCACATGGTACTTCTACATTTTTTTTCCCCATTAGGTTTCTTGGTACATTTTAGGTATACAATACAGTTACATTCATTATTGGGAACTTGTACCTGTACATGATGTATCTTGGTTCTTATTTTTCCCCCTTCCCCTGCCCTCCCTTCAACCCCTTCACCTCTCCCTATTTACAAAGACTTTGTTTCCAATTTTTCCTTTTCTCATATTTTTTCTTTTCCCTTCTTTTCTTTCCCCTGCCCCTCCCACTTCCCCTACCCCTTTAGTTACCTCTACATTTTTAACCTTTTGCTGAACACTTCCAAAGCAGCTGTGCCATTTTCCATCTCCACCAGCATGTATGAAATTTCTCTATATCTTCACTAATGGTTGTTAATGATTGTTCTTTTTTTCTTTGGCACCGGGGATCGAACTCCGGTCCTTGCACTTGCACAGCAGGCGGCGAAACCACTGAGCTAAATCCCTGGCCAATTGTTCTTAATTATAGCCTTCCTAGTAGGTGTGAAGTGATGTGTCTTTATGATTTTGATTGGTAATTTCATGGTGGCTAATAATGTGAACCAACTAGTTATGGGTTTTTGGCCATTCCTACATCTTCTTTCAAAATATATATTCAAATACTTTCCTATTTTATAATTGGGTTGTCTTTCTATTGTTGAGTTGTAAGTGTCTCTCTCTCTCTCTCTCTCTCTCTCTCTCTCTCTCTCTCTCGCTCTCTCTCATCTCTCTTTTCTACCTGGGATTGAACTCGGGTCCTTGCACTGGCAAGGCGGGGAACAGAACCACTGAGATAAATCCCTGGCTTTTTTTTCTTTTTAAAACAGGGTCTCTCTATGTAGTTCAGGGTGTCCTTGAACTCACTGTGTAGCCCAGGCTGGCCTCAAACTCATTTCGATCCTCTTGCCTCAGCCTCCCAAGTGCTGGGTTTAAAAGATGTGTCCCACCACACCTGGCTAAGCATTCCTTTCATATTATCTTCCATTCTGTGATTTCCCTTTTCACTTTCTCAATAGCATATTTGGGAGTGCAGAAGTTCTTTTGAAGTCCCAGCTATTTGTTTCTTTTGTTTATGTTTTTGGTGTCATATCTAATAAGCCACTGCCTAATCCAAGTTAGTAGAGATTTATACCTGTGTTTTCTCCTAAGAGTTTTATAGCATTAGCTGCTTTATTTGGATTAATATTTGTATATGGTACCAAGTAGCAGACCAGCATTCCTTTGCATATGGATATCCAGCAACCTTTGTTGAAAAAACTATTCTTTCCTTATTAAGTTGTCTACTTTTGTCAAAACTCAATTAACCCTAGATATGAGTTGACATTTATACCCTCAATTCCATTCCATTGATCAATAATATGTCTGATTTTATTTACTGACCATTTAAGTAAATTTGTTTTTTGTTTTTTTCTGTTTTGGATTTTTGAGCCAGGATCTTGCTATATATTCCAGGCTGCCTTTGAACTTGCTATGAAGCCTAGGCTAGCCTCAGCCTTCCAGGTGCTGGGATTACAGGTATGCACCATCATACTAGGGACCTGTTAAGTAATTTTGAAATCAGAAAGTCCTCCAATTTTCTTTCTTTGTTTCTTTGTTTCTTTCTTTTTTTTGAGGCAGGGTCTCAATATGTAGTTTAGGCTGGTCTTGAACTCACTATGTAGGCCAGGCTAGCCTCGAATTTATGAGGATCCTCCTGCCTCAGCCTCTTGAGTGCTGGGATCACAGGAGTGTGCCACCATGCCCAGTTAAGTCCTTCAATTTTTAGCTTCCTATTGCAAGTTTGTTTTGCCTATTCTGGGTCTCTTGAGTTTCCCTGTGAATTTTCTGGTTTTTTGTTGATTTTTGAGAAACAGTCTAGATATGTAGTCCAGGTTGGCCTCAAACTCATAGCAATTCTTGGTCTACCTGCCTCAACCTCAAGAGTGCTGCAATTATAAGCGTATGCTGGCACACCCACTTCCCCTTCTTTTCCTGACCGGGGGTCACTTTAGGGGCTATCTTGGTTTTTTAGGGAAAAGGGAAAATATGGTTGTCACCGGGTATAAGGAATTTTATTACTTAGCTTGTCTATTATTATTATTATTATTATTATTATTATTTTTGGTACCGGGGATCGAACTCGGGTCCTTGCGCTTGTGCAGCAGGCGGCGAAACCACTGAGCTAAATCCCTGGCCCATTTGTCTATTATCTTAAAACATTTTTTATTCTTTTATCCTATTAGTTAATCTTTTCTTTTTGGTACCAGTCTAACTCAGGACCTTCCGCTTACAAGGCAGGCGGCAGAACCACTGAGCTAAATCCCCAGCCCCTATTGTTTATCTTTATGCCTGAAATGTACCTTAATGTTTTTACCTCTTCCCACACAAAACATGTCGGAATTAGGGTTGACTGTTTTGCCCCTGGAATCTTTTGCCCTGCAGGGAAGCCCGTTGTTGATTACCTCAACTCCCTCAGCTCTAGGTCTCTCCCTCTTCCATTTTCTTTCAGAACTTTTGCAGACAAGAAGACAAAAACAGCCTTAGGCTGAAATAAATATGAAAATACAGATTTCTTGGAGGATGGGTAGTGGAGTGTTCAAAGGCAGGACAATCAAGTGTAGAATAGGAGTAAGAAAGTAGTGAAGAGGGCCGGGGATTTAGCTCAGTGGTTCTGCCGCCTGTCCGGCAAGCACAAGGACCCGAGTTCGATCCCTGGCACCAAAAAAAAAAAATTTCTTGCTTAGATATCTCACTGGGCCAGGGATTTAGCTCAGTGGTTCCACCGCCTGCTTCGCAAGCACAAGGACCTGAGTTCGATCCCCAGTACCAAAAAAAAGAAAGTAGTGAAGAACACAGTGAGTACACGTTGTTTAAATTGGAGGCCAGCTGGGCGTGGAGGTGCATGCCTGTAATCCCAACACTCAGATCGCTGTGAGTTCTAGGCCAGCCTGGGCTACATAGCAAGACCCTGTCTCCAAATAAATAAATAAATAAATAAATAAATATATTGGAGGCCAGTTCATGAGAACCAAAACAGATGGGAAAGGGGGAGCAAATGAAAACATGTTCTGGCCTAAATAATTTAAACAAAATAAGAAGAGAGTGGGGCTCAAGTTAGAAAGCCAGATATTAATTGACGGGGAAAATGGCATCATCAATTCAAAGTCCTGATGTACATAAACCTTTGACCGTGGATAAACTTCAGAATGACTCAGAGTTATGCTTCTTGTCCAAGGTGAGGACACCCTAAACGAGACCGAGGTGAACTGGCAGAGCTGGTTCTCAGAGCTCTTAGGAGGCTCAGTGTAGTCAAGGAGGCTCCTGCTGGAACATGGAGCTTCTACAAACTGCATAAAGTCTGGTCTTCTTTCCCCCAGAAAAGGTCTTAAAGAAGTAAAAGCTAAAGTAACAGAGCAGAAACTCTGAAGCCACCTTTTCCACCTAGGGACCCTGAAGTCCTCTCTACTTCAGAAAACACAACCTCTGAGCTGTTTCCTTCCTCCAGTTGCTTTGAGCATCTGCACTCCCAGAAAGCCCTTTATTCCCTCCAGGGGAGGACATTCCAGGCTGCCCAGCCCAGGGCTGCCTGGTAGGGATCGCTTCTCCACGGTGCACTCCCTGCTGCTTGGCCTCCCCCAGGGTCTCCATTTGGGAACCATGTGACTACATGACATGTGCAGAAAACTGGCATTTACTAGGCCAAGATGCCAGCTGGCAGGAGCATGTGTAACCGAGGCAGACTCCACCCTTGCTTTCCAGCTGCCTAGGGTTTAAAGGAAAGTCGACCCTTTGTAGCTTCTAGTTATTACTCTTAAAAGTACAGGACATATATAGTGAGGTGGACCACAGCGACAGGTCCCAGGAACTATACCACAGCCAAAAAGCTTCCAGACAGTACAGATTCACATTTATTATGAACAAACATGATCTCAGATCAGTACAGCTAGCTTCAGAATTGATATTAATGAGAATCATTTCAAAATTTCTTAGCTTACAAACTACTATTTCACATAAAAAAGAAAAAAATCCCACCCAGGCAAGGAAAAAGTATACTGCATATGTTTTCATGGCAATAAGTATACATTCGCAAGTTCTGTCTTAACTTGTAGTTATACACCACTTTTCCAGTGGAAGTACTGAATCTCTTGAAAGAACCATATAGACTAATGATGGTATCCAGAACATACATACATGTCAAGTTCACGGTGGACACTGCTACTATAAAGGTCTCCATGACTTGACAGTTCCTCTGCTGAGGATGCCAAAATGCTTAATAAAAGCTCTAGTCACACCCCAGAACTGCTCTTTGAGGTAGGTCAGTTTTATTACCCCATTGTAACAGAAGGAAAAGTGAGGCACATTATAGTTATGTGATTTGCCTAGTGCAATGGTTTCAGTCTCCCCCAAGTTCATGAATTGTAAAACTCATCCCCAATGCAACAGTTTGAGGTGGGACATTTAAGAGGTGATTAGTTTCGAAGGGTTGTGAAGAGATTAATGACCTTATCTCAGAAGTACGATTGTTACAAAACAGAGGATCAGAGAGAAGTCAGTAGCATAGTGGTAGGAGAGGACCGCTTTGGCAACCAATGTAACTTAGTCACATTGCTTTGTTTGCCTTTTACAGTAATTCATGTGAGCTACACTTAGAGAATTCAGTCAGAATATTAGCAAACTAAGGAGAAAACTTTCCATTTTAAGTGCTACCACATGTTTAAAGATAATAAATCACACACATTCAAATAATTTCCAACCTTCATCAATTTTGTGCTCTTGGTAAAAGTATCCCTAAAGTTCCCAAAATGAAACCCAGAAGAATCCTGCTATTCGCTGTACTGATAATCTTCCAGCCAGTCTCTTGCTGACACTGGAAGAGGGAGGCCAGGCTCACATGCAACATGGATTAGAAAAGAGGTAAGGCACCGAGTAAGTACGTTGTCCATATGGGAAGGACTGTTAGAAATTCACTCTTGGGCCAGGGGTTTAGCTCAGTGGTGCTGTTGCCTGCCTTGCAAGCATAAGGTCCTGAGTTCGATCCCCGGTACCAGAAAAGAAAAGAAATTCAACCTTGAGTGAATCCACACGGATGAATCCATATCCATACAAGGACTTAGAAATTCACTCTTGAGATCAGTTTCTCATTAATGTGCCACTTGAACTGAGCTTCAGAATCTCAAAGTGTTCCTCACTGAACTGACATACCCCTGCATACACACCCAAGTGTACGCTGGGTGTCTCATTCTGTGGTCTCCATGTCCAGCCTTGTTATAGGGACATGGAATGGATCAGATCCATGGAATAGGATTAGAAGAGAAAGTTGATTTTATTGTCCATATATTTTAAAGCAGGCATCTAATAACCTGTAGAATTAAAAACACCTAACAGGCAGTAGGCAAGGGGTAAGCATATAGGTCTGCAGATTTGATCAGTGATCTTCCACGACTCTTTTCTACTTTAATGAACAGGTCAAAGACAAGGCTGACCCAGCACAGGCTGGTGGCTGCAGCCTCGATTAAATGGACACAGGAAGACTCTGCTCCTTTTCACCACTAGGAATCAACAATGGACAAAACATTTGGTACTGGGCACTGTTAATCCTGACAGAGCAGAGCCAGGCTTCTGCACTGACACCTGTGGTACAGGAACAGGAAAGATCCCTGGTCCTCAAAACACACACAATGTTCTGCAAAGTTCATCTGAGATGCCATCAGATCTAATGTCTCAGTTGAAGACTGGTAGAACAGCCTGGCTCCAGAGATTGGGGTCTCCTTTCAATGTGAGGCACCTGGGAACTTGCCCTTGCTTCTTGTGCTTCCCAGCGAGGACTGAGCAGCTTGCTCTTTCTACAACCATTACAGATAGGGCCGGGGATTTTAGCTCAATGGTTCCAGCACCTGCCTTGAAAGGCCAAGGTCCCAAGTTCGATCTTGGGCACCAAAAAAAAAAAATGCAACCATTACAATGCCAAGTGGGAGTGCTGATCAAATGGGGCAGCATTGCTGAGCACACAGGGCCCTTAGAATCCTGTTTTGACCCATAGGAGACTGACAAGCTCCATGGCTAGCTTACTGGCCTTGCTCCGTCAGAGAACCTCTGAGTCACTGACACCTCTACAAATTATGGGAAACTTCTTCTGGAGCCATGGGGGGAGGGTGGGCATAGTGAAGGTGCAGAGAAATCTAGAGGCCACAGGAAAGTAACAGTCATCTCCACTGCAAAACACGGAAGTTCAGAGCCTGTGAGCATTGTCTGCAGGAAAGGGGGCTGCCTGAAAACAGGCAGGAAGAAGCAAAGGTCAGGGAACAGAGACAATTGTAAGTGGAAAGGGATACATGGGGTAGAAGCAGGAAGCAAGAATCAGGACAGTTACTGACTCCTACCCTACTCCCAGGCAGTCATACACAATAGGCTGATGGTCACAGGGCGAGCAATGAGTGCAAGAGCACAATGCCTTGGAGAAATGACTAATTTTTATTCAATCTGCAGCAAATGGGGCTGCTACATGGAGGTCTCATCGAACGTGCTCCGTTAGGACACCTAATAACTCCATATATTAATTCTGAATCCCCCGGATGTGTTCTCCGAGTCCTTTGGAAAGTTATCTAAGGAGCTGCTACAAACGCTGCCCCTCAATCTAGCTCCTGTCCAGTGATGGGAGGAAGAGACAAGCAGCTAACTTCTCCTCTCCAAGTTTCCTTGGCTTTTCCTTCAGAAGGAAATATACTAATTATTTTCATGTTCCAGGCAAAGATTACATGTCTGAATATTTTTGTTTGACTCGACTTCACGTGTTAAAATCCTCTCATTTCTGGATGTGTAGAAATGCCATAGAAATCCTATTACTGTGAGGGAACAACAAATATCCTAAGGATGGAGAGCAGAAAGATCAAAGGAGTTAGATAAGCAGCTCATGGAATCCTCAAAACAGCTGCTGCATAGAACTCTTCTTGTTATCAATAAAAAATACTTCCAGCAGAGACCACATTTTCTACACAGTAAATGCTTCCTCCTTATCTTCAGTCACTGACCTGTTGTGTTCCACATCATCCAACTCCTGGCACAATCAGGAGAGAAGGAAGGTGTGCTGTGTGGAGGGCTCCATGCTTTGCTAGGCAGGCAGCTGGGCCTGATCTGCCTTCTCCTCTTTCCCCATTTCTCTCCTATCCTTACTAATCTGCTATCCTTACTAATGAACCATATCCCTCCCACATGTTAACTTTCTCCTGCTTTACAAGTTGTGTGCCAAATACATTTTTCCTTTCCATCAAGCAAAGCCTGGGGTTGAAGACAATTAGCAGAGGACTTCCCAGAAAATTTTATCTCTGGTTTGAGGCACCTATCTTGAAACTCAGGGGAGATCAAATAAAGTTATATAGAGAAAGATCATCACCTTTAGACCTTTAGGAAGGTTGTGTACACTTTACAAGGTGGGCACAGATCCGTGACTGACCAGCTATTTGCCTGGGAGGCTATGAGGAAGAAGAGAAAGGAAGGTGGTAGAAACAGTGCAAAGGGCAATGGAAAGAGAAGAGAGAAGCATGTCTGTTTAACATTATGAGCATAGTTGCTGGCTTTTCAATACTCTTTTTAAAGAATGTTCCAATTTATTATTTATTTTTAAAAATTGACACATAAAATTGCCATGTATTTATCATGTACAACATGTTTGTACATATATTGTGGTATGGTTAAATCTGGCTAATTAAAATATGTATTACCTTAAAAAGTTATCAAAACTTTCCCATTTTAAAGAATACTGTACCGGAATAGGTTAATATATCTTTAGCATCCTGGTAGCATTTTTCAGTAGTTAATTAACACATTAAACCTCTGACAGTCTGGCTTTTGGAAAAGAAACCCAGATGACCCAACTCAACCACTCTTGTAGCTTCCATCTCCAGTTCTTTTAATCCTGGCCAAGACAGCGGCCTTGGATACTTTCTTCCGGTCATAAGCTAGACCGAGGGCAGCCATGCAATCAATGAAGAATGTGGTTAAGTTGATGTGCCAGCGGTACTCACTGGCGGAGTAGTCGTAGGGGAAGGCATGGTGGTAGTTGTGGAAGCCCTCGCCTGGAACAAAGCAAGGAGAGAGGTTATGGAACTCAGTGGATTGTTGGCTTCTTCATCTTGGCAGATCTATTATCTGGCAGTGTACCTCAAAGCTCAGAGAAATCAGCTGTTTGTCAATGAATGGATGAACCTAGTGTCTTTAATTCTGAAGCAAATGTCCTCAGAGGCACACTAAGCAAAGAGTTCAGAGGCTCTAGTCACCCATGACTTGTGGGGAGGCCTTGGTGAGAGGATGTTTCTCTCAAGAGGATAAGAGGACAACAGAAAAGCTGGTATTGCTGGGATAAGATTTTACAGTAGGAAATAACAGAGCTTCAAAAAAAAAAAAACAACAGAGCTTCAGTTATACTGGCCCAAGACCACACAGGCTCTTGTGTCATGTGTTGGGGCACAGACAGCAGGATCCAAAGGAGGAACTCCTTTTTCCACCATATTAGTGCTCCCTAAGAGAGCGGGAGGTTTGGAGAGAATGGATTTCAGCTGGCAAAAGCCAGAGGGAAGGAGGTCCACGGAGGGGCTGGGGTTTTCTCAGCCACGGCTGGGTCACAGTGATTTGCTAGCTTCTAAGTCTCCGAGCTTTGACCCTGAAGTGAGGGATGTGCTGATAAAACAGAACCTCTGTGAAAATACTTAAGAGATCCCCTCTGAGATTCTAAGATCTCTGGGATAAATGCTTCACGGTGCTGCAGAGGACAATTTTCTGAAATCGGGAAATTTTTGCCAACTCTTTGCAAATCTTCTTTCTGAATCATTTCCAAAACTAACAATACTGACCCTTATCGGACCAGGGTAAAAAAAACTCCTAATAAAAAGGTTGTTGAACACTGTGTAGATAACAATACCCAAGCTAGGGTAGCAATGATTCCACTTAGGGCTTCCCAGGAATGTGCTAACCATGCACATGGATTGCCCAAGGTGTGAACTGTGTAGGATCACGCCAAGGCCAAGGTCCTGACAGAGCAGGGCTGGCTTCCACACAGGCCAGGCTCTGGAGAGAGGGGAGTTGTAAGTGACGACTGGGGCAGCAAGACACAGCCCAGGGAAGGCTGAAGGGGAAGGTGAGCTGTGTCAGAGAAGATGAGCATGTGACTGTGAGGGAGGTAATTCAAGAAGCAAAGACAGCTGGAGAAGAGAACAGGTGTCAAAGGAAAGAGCAGGGTTGTGGAAGTCAGTGACATCCAGGACAAAGTTGGCAGCCACTCTGAACTGATGGTCACACAGGATGCAGGTGGGAAAGATCACTACAGTTCAGCTAACAATACAGGACGCATCTCAGTCAAGACTACCGCACTTCTAGCAAACCGCAGATTTGTACAGCGTAGGTGATTTATTTCAAAGATGGGTCAAAGAACAAATATGCACAATGAAAGGTCCCTAGAAGGATGAAGGAGATGTTTGAAAGTCAAATAAAGATAGCAAATACGGGGCCAGGGATTTAGCTCAGTGGTTCAGTCACCTGCCTCTCAAGTGCAAGGTCGAGTTCGATCCGCAGTACAAAAAAGAAAAAAGAAAAGATAGCAAATATGACCAAGGTTGAGAGTATACAGGAAGATATCAGTGAGAACAAGTATTTTGTAATGATGTGCATGAAGCTGTGAGCAGTGTTTGACAAGGCATAGGCATTACTGGATGAACAACAGCTCTGATGACAAGGTAAAGAGGCCCCTGAATCTACACAGGTAAGACCAACTTGGGATGTCAAAGCCTGTGTTCATCTGGAAAGAAGACTGGGGGAAATAAGACAAATGGTAGAACTCTGTTTTCTTTGATATGGCAATTGAGACTTGAATTATAGAGAAGTGACTTCAGGAATAGTCAACATCAGATCCTGGAATAGTACCTCTGAGAAAACCATTTGCATTATCTGAGGGCTCCCAAACCCATGTTGGGGAAAGGAGAGTTCCTAACAGACAGCAGGAAAAGAAGACAGAAAAATAAAGGATAGGCAGTGGGGAAGCGTCCCCAAGAGTGGCACTGATATGTTTCATACTGGCATCAGAGCCAATAAGGCACAGCCCACAATAAAGTATGCTATGTCCAACTACAATGGGGAGATAAAAATACTATAAATGTGACAAACTTGAAGATTACTGAACTAAATTATAATTTCCTACATTTTACAAGACATTTAAATATAAAGCACTAGGCCTACAGGCCACCCAGATGACCATATTTTTCTATTTATGCATCTGTGGCACCAAGTAAGACTACAGACCTGCTCAGAGATAACTAGTACCATTTGGAGATTGTTTTACAATTTGAAATCAAAAGCAGTATTATGTTTACCCTTTCCATTTTACATAAGAGCGGTTTGCCTCTACTAAGCGTTTCCCAATATATGAACCCCTTTTTTTTAAAGTGAAAAAATGAGCTACAGACAAGCCATAAAAGCAGGTCTTTCTGGTTCTACATCTCCTAGCCAAATACCCTTATCATCAGAGCCCAGATGTGGTCTTGCTATGGACAGCTGACTTACCTACAGCTCCTAGTGAAACCAGGATGTTCTCCCGAGATTCAATGTTCTTATCGTAAGGGCGATATCCGAAGAGGTGGGCAGCACTGTTCACCAGCCAGGTGGCATTGAGCACCACAGCGTACCTCAGGAAAGTGGCAACATACAAGCTGTGTAGAAAAGTTTCACCCCAACAGTACCAGGGAACTAGTGTGGGCAGGATGAAACACATCAACAGGAGGCCAGGCTTATAGTACCTATGTGGAGAGAACAAGCAGAGTCTGTGGAGGGAGAACTCTCACGCTTACCTGTATGGTTCTCTCTCACTAGCATGGGCTGTGTTTTCTCCACCACCAAGAGCACAGGTAGCAGAAGTCAACATGAAGGAATGGAGTCGAAAATCTTTGGAACACATAGTGTTCTTACCTCATTTCCTGGATGTGGCAACCTGTTCAGTCCCTTTTCTGGGATCACCCCACTGAGAAACAGTGGAGGAATGATAGGAACACCTGTCTTCTGACTTGAAATTCATTCTTTTTCACAAGAGCATAAAGCCCTGCTGGTCGAGTCATGAAGTCATCAGCCCAGTTCTGCTGCCTAAGCTGTTGCCCATCTGCCCCGGGCTCCTTTCTTACCCACCCCAGTCTTTGCACAGAGGGTGTGTTAAGTTTTCTGCTTCCCTTTCCTGCAATCACCCCCAATCTTTTGCTGTGCCTTTCCCTAGAAGGCACCCCGAGTGTGCTTGACCCTTGTAGGCATACCCTTCCACAGGCTCCGGCCCACTCCCCACGCTCACACAGACCTGGTCGTCGACATTCCAAGGGAACCGGAGGCCTGCATCCCTCAGCAGTGGCCCCACTGCCACTGCCCAACTTCTTCCCTTGCTGCCAATGCTTCCTCAGCCTGGCTGGTCCCTACATTCTCCCTGGTGTCTACAGTCCCATCCCTGTCCTGAAAGCAGCCCAGCTGCAGCACACCTGATCAGCACAGTTATGCTGGAGAAACCTTCAGTGGTTCTGTTGCAACAGAATCAGATCCTGATCTGCATGTAGGACTCTCTATGACAGCCTCTTTTTGGTCCTTTTTCTCTCAAGCTCCATACTTTGGCAGAAGGGCCTCACTCATGGATGGTGCTATAGCTCATTCTGTTCTTCCTTTTACATTGTGCCTGCTCACACAGAAGTGAAAGTCTATCCCTGGGTGGATTCGCTGCTATTTTTTTCACAAACCCTTCCCTGGAGTACTCCTTTGAGCAACCAAATCCTTCTCCGCTGAACCTCTCGTGGTACAGACAGCATTCTGACCTATATTGTGGTTATTTGGGCCCTGGGCTTATCATTCTACCTGTAATTGCCTACAGACTTCATGAAGGGAAGGACTCGGCTGTACTCATGTTTGTGTCCATAACCATTTTAGGACAGTGAATGTTGCATTAGTTGATTTCATTAAGATAACTCAGAGAAAGGAACATAGCAATAAGTTATGGGTGTGGGCCCGTGAAATGTTGAAAATTGGGCTTTTATATGATTTTAAACATGCAGACCAAATAAATTCCTCAGCTTTTATTTTATAAGTCCTAAGGAAAAAGGTTGGATCCCCAACCCAGGTGCCCAAAGCTACAGTCCCAGCTCCATCCTGCCCCACTCACCTTCTCTGGAACATCACCAGTTTCTCGGCTTTGAGGTCAGACATGTCCAGCAAACCACCCTTCTCTTTGACAGCTGGGTGTTTGCGCACAAGCAGCCAGCCCACGTGAGAGAAGAAAAAGCCACGTCGAGAATTGTGAGGGTCAGCGTGTGTCTCTGAGAACTTGTGGTGGGCACGATGGTCTCGGGCCCATTCATACACATCGTTCTGGAGGATGGAGAAAGAGAACAGAGGCCTGAGGAGACATGTCCCCCTGAGAGGATAAATGCCCAGACGTCTGCATGGGCTCACTGCTGTCAGCCCAGCCTCACAGCATAGCCAAGAGTCTGGCTCCAAAGGAGCCACAAAGAAGATGCTTTCTTCTGCATCCTTGCCCAGAAGTTTACAGGGAAAAGCACCTTACAGTCTCAGACCACAGGAATAGCACTGCTGCATCCTCAAGGCTGAGTGTGGGGAGAATGGGGGTGAATCCAACACTCAGCTTCTTTAGGAAAGATCCTTGTGGAATGTGGGACAAGTCCTCATGGTGTCCCTAATCCCTGGTCATAGAGAGAGAGAGGTAGGCACCGCAGGTCCAAGGGTGCTGGTCTCTGAGTAGAGCTTCGGGGAGCTCTACCCTGATGCCTTCCTGAGCGACGTTCACCCAACCCAATAACAAGGCCACATGTAACTCATGAGGACTTCAGGGCTTGTTTGGGATTCTTTCCTTCCATTCAAAAATGTACCAATATATCTCTTCTTTTCTTTTGCCCCACCCATCAGGAATCTCAGGGTTTAAAAGTTGCTGGGGAAGTGGGGCCGGGATTTAGCTCAGTGGTTTTGCCACCTGCTGCGCAAGCGCAAGGACCCGAGTTCGATCCCAGGTACCAAAAAGTTGCTGGGGAAAAGATGAATATGTAAAGGTGGTAAGTACTGGGGATATCATCAACACAAAGGGGGCTAATTTGTCTTCCTGTTTTGTTCTTGTTGCAAGCTATGCCCCGCACCAGGAGCTGTCTTTTGCCCATTGTTAGAGCCTAATAACTACGAAATTCTCCTCCCCAACTCCCTTCACTTTGTCTCTTACAAACTTGTCTGAATCATTTCCCACACTTGACATAGCCAGAATGCCAACCCCAGACAGGACCACAACACTGGTGTGCCCAACTTCCCAGTGCCACAGTTTTCTCGTCTTTCAAATGAAAATTAATACTAAGACTCACTTCCTAAGATGCTGGAAGGGTTTAATGAATTAGTCTGTGCCTAGTGCTTAGCACAGAACCTGGCACATAGCTGGTGCAACAGAGAAGTGATTGCTGTCAGTATCTGTGACACATCACCTCCTGGCCCATTGTGTGTGTCCGTGGGCGGCCATTCCTAAGAGGGTCCTTGTGATGTGAGAGTTTAGTGCCCACTTTCTGTCCAGGAAAACAAACTCAGCACCTGGCTTTGTGACCTGGCCCTTACATTGAAGGACAGCAGCCACGCCGTGGTAACAGATGCTCCTTGGGATAAAAATAAATCTGTACCTCAAGAGCATGACCTATTTACCTCCCATTTCCCATCCCAGTGACTCTGAAGCTCCCTATGACTGATGGACTTCAGCACTGCGCCAGCACTTGAGTTGACCACAGGAGAGGGAAAAAGCAATGACCACCCTGCTAGGACTCCTCTCTGAGCACAGATCTCCTCTTCTTTCCACCCTGTACCATGAATAGGGTGGAGACAGGATGGCTCAGCTGCACCAGCTTCTTACCTGGAAAGCCATTGTGTTGGCCATGATCAGGAAGATCCTCAGAGGCAGCCGTGCTTTGTAAGTTCGATGACTCCACAGTCGATGAGCTCCTGCCGTGATGCCCAGGGCACTGACCACATAGTACAGATATGCTGCCAGGACAAGTCATAGGAGTCAGCAATATGCAAAGTCCATCTGGGAAAGCATGCCAAGGACACTCTCCTTGTGTCACAGTCTTAAGTTTTTATGCTTTGGCTGAGGATCTGCTTTCCCCTGAACCCTAGCTTTTGGCACTTGAAAAAAAAAACAACCATCACCTCCCAGCCTCTCCACCTAGGAATGGAGATAAGCTCAGAAATGCCAGTAATGAAGGAAGCGCAAAGAAGAGGGAATAGGGCTTTCACCACTGAGCCATTTGTCAGTCTGAAAAGGCATTGGCCCAGGACCTTTCTCCTTTGACCTTCATTAAGGTGTTCAGGGACCAAACTACTCTGCTCAAGCTTAGAACCCATGATCAAGGGCATTCTGAAAATGATAGCCAGAGAAATCTGGGAGCTGACCGACTGGTGGAGTCTCATGCCGTCAAAGACACTAGGGATTCAGAGCTGAGGCTATTGACCAGCGGGTACTAAACATCTCAGTATTACAGCAAGCAGTGTGGCCAGATCGGGGAGCGTCAGTCCTGGACACAGCCATATTTTCAGGGGCCAAAGCTTCACCAAGGATGCTTACATTTGCGGATATATTACATAGCTTGACTGGTGTAGGTGCTCATAATACTACACATCCCAGCTGAGGAAACAGATGCTGTGTGCGTCCAGGGTTACACAGTAAAACTAAAAGAACTAGGTTTTCTGTGACCACCCAGTTCACGTTGTAGACCTACCACCCACCCTGAACAACCTATGCCCAGTTCCCAGGTCTCTCCTTCACTGCATCCCTCTGCCAGCCCAGACTCTGCCCAACACCAGTTCTAGACAGTTCTGAGACACTGTCTTGCCTCATCATCCTCCAGGCCTGCAAGTCCAGAGGCAGCCTGTATTCTAACAGGGAAGGGGTACAGGGTGTAACCATCTCTTCCTCTGACCGGTTGCCAGAGGCAGGGGCTGAGGCCCTAATGGAAACTGTTAACAATGTATCACTCCTTGGGGGCAGCTGGAAACAATGGATCCTCAGTGATCACAGGACTTAGCTGTGGTTGAAGACACCACATATTGTGACAAACTGTCCTGTGTTCTCCAGAGATAAGTTTCCAAACAAACTCATCTCTCCCTCTCCCTTCTGCACCTGGTCCTGTCCCTCCCACAGGATCTCCAGGAGAGCCACACTGCCAGCAGCATCTGCCCTAGTAAAATTCTGGCACATTTCCTCTGAGCTGGGCTCGAGGTCCCAGCTGATCGACAGAACCTGCTCGTCTGATGATCGACAAACCTTCAGCAGCCCTGATCTTCCAGCTGTTCTTCAGTGTCTGACTACACCTGCACCTGGTAAAGCCCTGTGGGGCCAGAGCTGTGGAATCTTCAGGAACAGGCTTTGGGCCAGGCATGGTGGCATACACATTTGGGAGGCTGGGGCAGGAGGATTGCCACAAGTTCGAGGCCAGCCTGGACTACATAAGAGTTCAAGGTCAGCCTGAATTATGTAGCAAGTCCCTGTTTCAAAAACCCAGAGCAAAGCTGGGCATGGTGGCACATGGCTGTAATCCCAGCACCTGGGAGGCTGGGGCAGGAGGACGGCCTTGAGTTCAAGGCCAGCCTGAACTACACAAGGTGACCCTGCTCAAAAAAACCAAAAAACCCCACAACAAAATGAGGCCTTGGGCAAAGTAGAAGCAGATGAGGGCCAAGGAAACATCTCCATTTGTTTCATGTGGGATTAGCTCGTAAAGTACCTAGGACCCCTTATTAACAGGGGAACTGGGAAAAGGACCCAGGCACACTCGTTCCATTCTAACCACACTACTAGTTCCATCAAGTAGAAGACTCGGGTCAGTTAAGACACATTCTCCCTCTGACTCAGGAAAGGATTGTTAGTGTCACACTGATGGTTAAATAAAACAACACCTCACAACTCTGCCCTACGGAGAAGACCAGAGGAGTTTTGCCCTTTGGCAAAGCTGTTGCCAGGGACACCTCTTCACCCTTGTCTTACAGGCTCTTCTAGAGTCTGCAAAACAACATAAAACTCAGAGATAGCGGAGACGGGAGCAATGCTGAGATGACACACTTACCTAAGGAATACAACTTTCTAACCCTAAAAGGTACTGACACACCTGCTTGGTACACTGAATAACGGTGTTTCTGAGAAAGAGGATCTTATCAGTTACAGTTCCCTGGGGCTCCTAGAGAATTTTCCCAAACAGAGCTCCAGAGACCAGACCTTACCACCTAGAAAACCTTAAAAAGCCCAAAAAGAGACAGCAAGCACCTGGCCAACCAGTTCTTTGACACGACTAGTAACGGGCAGCAGAGACTGCTCCAGACCTCCGGTTGTGTTCCGAAGGTTGTCCTGCCCACTGACCCTGAGAGGGCAGTGATGGGGCCCTGGGCCTGGACCGCTCCCTACTCCGCTTCCCAATCCCCCGCAAAGCATGTGTGGGTCCCTGGCATAGACACTGCTCTCAGCTCCAGAAGATCCCTGACCATAAGGGCAGGGCAGGACAGGGCGGTGACCATCTACCTTGGTGGCAGAGCTGCTCAAAGCCCTCTTCTCTGGCCCTTGGCATGCCATGGCCTCAGCAGAGAGGGGCTGGAGCAGGCGGGTTGGGGAGTGGAACATGAGACACTTCCACCATACTGTGCTAAGAACATTTGGTTGACTGGCACATGCTGCACTGTGAGGCCTGCTTGGAGTGAGAGCAACAGATCTGTACAACTGGCTCATACAGGAGCTGTCTTCATCTCCCTCCAGGACAAATCGGCCTGGCTCAGCCAAGAGGGCCAGAGTGTTTTGTTTGTTTTGAGACAGGTTCTCGCTATGTAGTCCCGGCTTGCTTTGAACTCTGTGGTGATCCTCCTGCCTCAGCCTCCCAAGTGCTGGGATTACAGGCGTGCACCGCCATGCCAGGCATCAAATATTATAGTTTTGTGGGTAACTTCCTTTCAATGATATCCTTTTCTGAGCAGTTTCCCCTCACTCTGCCCCCTGACTGGCTCAGCATAGAGCCTGTGAAGCCCATGCTCCAGAACCAAGTGCCCATGCCCACATTTCCCCAGGAAGAGACCTCGGCTCCATCAGCAGAGCTTTTCCCAGGGCAGCTGCCCTCTGCCCTGGTCTTCACCTCAGTGCCCTGCACAGAGCCTCAGTCAGGCTCATTCCCCAAGACTCCTGGTAAGGGGACCCCAGACCTGACATGGCTGCATCCCAATCCCACTGGGCTGCATTCCCAGGCACCAAAAAGATGTGGCCAGGAGCCCTGCTGCTCTACGATCCCACCCAGCTTGTCAAGAGCGGCGAGAGCTCTGGGTACTGGCCGAGGGGGCAAGGGTTCTGCTTACCCCACAGGACAGTGTAGAACTTGCAGGTGGGAACCAGTGTGATCCCGTACAGGGCTCCCGTGTGCAGCAGGGTCATCAGGATGATGTTTCTCCAGACGTACTCCAGCTTGGGCGGGGGGCCCTCCTCGTCCTGGTAGCTGGGGTCGTGCGTGTCATCTATTTCAGGGCGGACGTCTGCTTCCGCGTACTGGGGAGCCGGGTCCGGCTTCTGTACTCCATTCTGCAGGCCCCCAGGGGGCGCTGTGATGGTAGTGGTGGTGGTGTAGGAGCCAGACATCTGGAAGCAGATGAGGGGAGACTTGGGAGACGTAGGACAAGCGAGGACAGCAGGGGACTCAGGTCTGTACCGCAGCCGGGGAAAGGGCACGAAGGCACTGCCCCGCCCAGGGCAGGGCAGAAGTTACCCGGGAGTAGGGTGCACCCAGAGATGGAATAGAAGGCAGCCTGCAGACTCTGTGCAGAGATTGGAAATGAAACCTTAAGGTGAAGAGGCAAGGGAGGACGAAACTCTCGCACCCTTAGCAACGCACAAAGGAAACCCCGTGCGCATAATAAAGGGACAGGCACGACCGCATTTTTCTTGCTTTGACCCTTAGGAAGTAAGTGTTGGGGAATCAGCGCTCCCGATTATAATCCATACCCCATCAGGGAAGGCAGTGCAGCTCGGAAGACGTGCAAGGGCCCCTCGGCGCCCCCACCTCGCCCCCAAGGCGCGTCACGGGGAGGCGCAGCCCGGCCGGCTACCGGGCGGCGCGGGCAGGTCCCGGGGAGCTCACCTCCTGCAGCATGTGGGCCGGCATCTCGGCTCTCGGTTGCTGGGATCACTTCCGAGGGCTGGGACTGCGCAAAGTGGTACCTCTGATCCAGAGGGTGGACTTCGGTGCCAGAGGCCTCTTCCGCGAGGCGATCTGGTGAAGCTGCGCTCCAAACCTGCTGCGTGCGGCCGGGCGTCCAGGCCTGCCTCGCTGTGCGTGGTCTCCGGAGCCGTGGATTTAAAGGGTAGAGTTGGCAGCGGCCGGCCGAGTCCCGTATTTCCTGACTTCTTTTATCCGCTGCCAAAAAGGGGCAAAGTGCACGGAGCAGGCCGGCCCAGGCAGCCCCGCGTGGAGGCGAGGGCGGGAGAAGGGAGGGGATTGGGAGCCGAGGAGCTGGAGACCGGAGCCCCGGAGCCGGGATGCTGCAGACCCGACGCCCGCGCCGGGGCCCCTGCCTCCGGGGAAATGCTAATGACTCCTGAAAGCTGCGGCCTGCCATTGGCCGAAGGGAATTTGGTGCCACTTCGTTCTGCCGTTGCCATTGGTTCGAAGCAATCTGCTGTTCCCTCTGCCGCCCGCTCCTCTCTCCCCTCCCCCTCTTTTTCTTGTCTGAGTCCGACCCGCCGTTGGGCTGCGGCCCGGCATCCCGGGGCTTCGGGGCGCTCCGAGGTCTCTGTCGAGAGTGTTCGGTTCGGCAGTGGGGGTGGAGCACAAACTCAACGCTCTACCCGCGCTCAGGGCCAGGGGGAGCAGTGGAGAGATCGATCACACAGGGAATGTGGGGAACCACTCCAGCTCCATGCTCGCTTCCCATTGCCCAGACACGGGGGAGGGAAACTGCCTTTCCTACCCCGAACGGCCGGCTGGAGGCCAGTGGGCCAGGGGCTCCGGCCGCAGCGAACGCTGACGCAGCCTCCCCACCAGCACTGGTCGACCCGAGGCCGCGAGCTCGGCCGCCTCCAGGCGCAGACAGATGTGTGCGCCTGCACGGGCGCACCGCGGGCACGGCCACCGCCGGGCACTGCGGGAGGGAGCGTGTGGGTGGATGCAACACTTATTAAAGGAAAATAAGAATGGTAGGGAATTGGCACTGCCGAAGACTGGCCAAAATAGTCAGTGCTGAGAGGATGAGATGAGCAATCCGGGTTGTTGGTTTTTTGGGTTTTTTTCTTTTTTGTGCGTTACTGGGGATTGGACTCAGGATCTTCGCCCTGAGCTACATTCCCAGCCCCTTTTCATTCTGAGACAGTTTTGCTAAATTACTAAATTGCGAGGCGAAACTCAAACTTGTTATCCTCCTGCTTCAGTTTACCAGAGCGCTGGAATTATAGGCGTGTGCCACCACACTCAGCTGAGATAAACCTTTTTTTTTTTTTTTTTTTTTTTGCGACAAGCTGTCGCTATGTAGTCATGCAGGCTGGCCTTCGACTCCCAGTTAATAGTGCTGGGATTACAGGCGTGCACCAACCACCACGCTCAGTGAGTTGAGATAAAACTTCTGGTGGCAGGATAAATTGGTTCACAAACATAGTCACCACAATTTTATATTAATATTTCAAAATAATATAATAAAACAATTATAAATGATAAACAATGATAGATTATGATATAGCTATATCATAGTTTCTTCAATATATTTCCAATATATGTTGCATATATACACCTATGAATATATGCTGTTTACATTCTGCGCCAACACTAAAAAGTAGTTTAATGGATTGGTGAGTAGTTTCACGGTAGAGTGCTTGCACAGCACGAAACATGCCCTGGGTTCTGGCCCTAGCACTCTGGGAAAAAAGTATATTGCTTAAGAAGCATTTCTAATTATATTGGAGTATGTTCATACTATGTTGCTGTTTACTTATAAGGATGTAAAAATACCTTTATGTGATCTCAACAATGTAAAACTATATTATGGAAGAGAAGGAAAATATTAGGCTGAGATCCTGCTTCTGAAATTTACTGACACCAGGTAACCACTGGCAATTGAATTTATTCTATGAGCTTCAATGTCCTCGGCTGCAAAATGAGGACATTTGTTTTAGCAGATTGTTTAATGATGTATTGAGACAATCAGTACGTGCAAGTACAATAGTGCCTTGCAATAGGCACACAGTAAGTTGCAATCCTTATTTCATTTACATCCAGGCTACTTTGTTTGGACATCCAGAGCTGTCTGTAATTTTTTTCTGAATGTGCTCTTCTGAACTGAATTCCCATATCTCACTAGCATAACTTTTATCTTCACCAAGATTACATTCTTACTGATTTCTATACTTGATCTCAATCACAAGATAACTCCTACTGATTTCTACTTTTTATTTTATGTTTTTTCAGTCCCGGTGCTCGGACTCAGGACCTTGCCCTTGTGAGGGAAGCCTAGTGGAACTTCACTAAATCCCTGGCCCGCCTACTGATTTCTAAACATGCTCTGTCCTCACAACTTTTCCTTCTATTCAACTTTCTCTTTCAAAATATTACCCAGTGATCCCACTCCTATGTGTATATCTAAGAGTGTGAAAACAGGTATACACACACACGAACTTGAGTACAAATATTCATAGCTGCTTTATTTATAACAGCAAAAGTGTAAACATCCACTGACTGATAAATAAGAAGTGATATAGCCACACAATGGAATATTATTTAACAATAAAAAAGAATGGAAGCAGAGAGTGGTCCCAGCACTCTGGGAATCTGGGATAGGACCACAAGGTGGAGCTCTACTTGGGGAAAATAATTTCTCAAAATAAAAAACAAAAGGGAAGTGGACCAGGACCTTAGCTCAGGGGTGCTGCCACCTGCCTCCAAGTACAAGGTCCCGAGTTTGATCCCTGGTACCATAAAAAAAAAGAAAAGAAAAGAAAAGAAAAAGGGAACCGTGGGCGCCAGGGATTTAGCTCAGTGGCACTGTCCTGCCTCACAAGGACAAGGTCCTAAGTTCAATCCTCCCATACCAAAAAAAAGGGGAAATGGGGAAAAAATAACCAAGATAGATTATGTAAAGGTGCAAATTCCCAATGATGAATGTCATTCTATTGTATACCTAAAATGTACCAATAAAAAAAGTGGGGGGGGGGAGTGTGAAGGCCCTGGGTTTCCCTAGTACTGTTAAATAAAAAAAAAAGTACTGGCATGTGCTACAACATAAATGAACCTTGAAAATAGAACTCTAAGTGAAAAAAGCCAGTGGCAAAGGACCACATAGTACATACTTCTATCTATATGATATGTCCAGAATAGGAAATTTTATGGAGAGAGAAAGCAGATTATTTGTTGCCCAGATCTGGGAGGGAGGATGGAGAGAGATAATAACTGAGGCATACAGGGGTGGGGGGGTAATAAAAACATTTAAAAACTGATTGTAGTGATCAACCTATAAATATGCTAAAAGCCATTAAATTATGTGATTTAAGTGGGTGAATTATATAGTATAAAACATATATCTCAAAAAACATCTAGCCACATTGACTTCAGCCACTGCAGATCCTGAGATTGTCATCTTGCTTAAATAAACATGTCCACTGAGACACATTGTTATGCAACCAGCCCCACATACCTGTCCATTCACACTACGCCTGGCATGGTGGTATTAAAGCAGGAGGTCAGAGCAAAACTGTCCTCATAACCATGGACCTGACAGGATTCACATGACTTTGGGTAACATGGGGAGGGAGGGAAGAAGGGAAACCAGCACCTGCTCATGTCCCAGAAGGGCCCCAGCCAGTTCTCTGGGCCCAGAGAAAGGGGAAAGGCCCTCCCAGGCTATGGGCTCTGCCCTGTCCCAGGGTTCAGGCTGAGTCCCAGGCAGCAGAGAGCTCAGAGAGATGGTGCAAATGGATGCCCCTTCCTCTTGGCCCAGTGCCAGGGCCCAGGCTAATCTGCCCTCCTGCAGCCTGTCTGGGCACCACTGGCTTCCAGAGGAGATGGGGCGGAGAGAACCATGGGGCCTTTACTGTCACGAACATGGAGCTTACTCCTTCAGCACATGTTTATGGAACACCCAGGGCCCAGGCTCAGGGTAAGAGCTGAGGCCCCAGGAGCTTCCCTTGAGCATTCCCATCATGAAGGAGATCTCTATGACTCCAGCTCTAGAGCTCAGCACAGAGCACCGAGGACTCCAGAGGGAAGGCACAGGCCAGACTGGCCTGGGAGAAGCATGGAAGACTTCCTGGAGGAGGTGATGATGTAAAATCCCAAGGGGACATTGGGATTAGATATGGAGAGAAGCATGTGACACTTCAGAGGCTCACTTAAGGGAAAGAAATGGTCTAGAGTGACATTTCAGGGATTAGGACCATTACACCTGGCTCCTCTTGGACCCCAGGCTAGAGAGAGGGTACTGTGGATCTTTTGCTAAGTGGCCCCAATCCAGAAGAGACCAGTGCACTTGTCCCACCAAGCTCCCCAAGGTGCCAGACATGCCTCACTGTGCACAGAGATGCCCCCGATCTCCCTCTTACTCCAGTTCTTCTTGCCGCTGCACACAGAGCTGAAGTATGCAGGTGGTGCATGTGTACTAACACACACATGTGTGCACAGGCCTATCTGCTGGCACAGGGTATGAGGGGAGCAGCTTCTACCAGGCTACTACTGGGATCTGGTGACAGCTCTGCAGATCAGAGTGGGTGTGACTGGGACACCTAATGTCTCAGGGACTGGGTGTGAGGCGGGGGCTGACAGCCTAAGCAGGTGGCACCTGAGGACAAAGGTCTTAGGACAGGCCTAGGGCTGGAGATTTTCTGAATGCCCCGACCTAGAAAGGATGGCTCTTTCCAGACCTCACCCTCTCCCTCCCACCTCTGGAATCCCTCTAGGAACCTCAGGAATCTCCCCAGCCTGGAGAGCCAGCCACACCTGAGCCTCCCATTGAGGATGGACCCAGAGAGGACAGACAGATCCAGGCCCAGGGCCACAACTGACAAATGAGCGAGCTGAAAGTCCTTCTTTTTCTGACTCAGCTTCTGGGCCAAGGTGAGGACAGAAGAGGGACTCGCCCAGCCCTGTCTTTATGGTCACAGAGAGGCATCCCCACTGGCTTCCTGCAGCGGTCAGGAGTGCCCAGAGGGAGGTCCCACCTGCCCTCCAGAGGCCTGAAGCAGCACCTCTCTGTCCTCCTTTGGTGAGTAGCCATTCTCGCCTCCTCAGTCTCTGTTCTCACTCCTCTCCACTCCTCTTTCTTTCCCCAGCTGCTTTCCCTACAAGACATCCATCTAGATTTGGGTGCCAAAGGAGCACCAGCAACCACCCCGCTCTCCCTGACCTTCCTTTTGCCCTAAAATAACCTCACCCATACTGATGTCACCCTTGCTTTGCACTGACAAGGCACTGAGCCAGACACAGCAGGGTTACACAGTCCAGAGGGCAGCTGCCCATGGCCTAAGCCAAGCTGGCCCAGAGCATTTCCCAGCGAGGAACCTGCATCGCCAACGTCCCAACACATCGTGCCAAAGTATCCAC